AACTCTGATATCAAACCTCCTAGCCCTCAGTCACAGCTTTATTGTGTGATGTAGCACTTTGGCAACCTGTGGGTTAGGGTAGAAAAGGAGGGATAAGGGGGGGGGGGTGCAATGCGGGATTTTATTAAGCGTCCACGATAATTTGGGTGGAGGGAGGGAGGGGGATGCGGGATTGTTTACCAGCACCTATTGATGATATTTTGTTGGCAATATCGTGCGGTCCTGGCATGCACTAAATAAACCGGTTAGTTCTGGTTCCGCTTGCCAGTCCTGTATGTCTTTGACTGACAGTGTCAATGTCAATGTCCGGAGCTTATAGACAGACAACGACGCACATCACTAATGCGGCAACCGTGTTATTTGTGTACCAACGTCCACAACAAGAGCTGGGAGATAATGTTTATTTGCCCTCTATAAATTAACCCTTGTAATAATGAGAGGTTTTTGTGTTACGCTAGGACAAACTATTTAAATTACTATAAAGAAAAGCGTGGGTCTCTTCCTAAATATTAGTAAAGTATCCAATAGATACTAAAGTGACCCACGCTTTTCTTTATAGTAATTTAAATAGTAGTGTCTAATATTTAGGAAGGTCCCACGCTTTTCTTTATAGTTATTTAAATAGTAGTGCATACTTTATTTTCTACTTTTTAGTGCATTATTAAATAAAAGCTTGTTATTAAAACGTTTTTTATGAATTTTTTTGTCAGTACTTTACATGTTTTATTTACAATAGTTACATGACTAAAAACCATTGTCAAGTTTATAGCTAAAGTTTTAGTAAAATATTATGGGATGGCGTAGTCTAGTGGTAAAGAACTAGACTGCTGACCCGACTAAAAACCATCGCGCGCCTATTGAACGTGATGACGCGCTTTGACGTAGAGCCACCCCCCCCCCCCCTCTCGCTCCACGCCCAACACGGCCGAGATGACGCGTGTGAATAGAACTGCCTACTAATTCTGTCCAAATTGTAATTAATTCATAAAAAATTAATTACGCATTAAATTAAGTCCAATTTATTGTCACAATGCATCGTCTTCATGTCTTGACCCACGTGCCAATTTGGAACCGTATCTGTCAAGTATGCAATTTCACTTCGGCGTTTCGATCTAGACTGAAAACTGACGGCAGACAGAGGAAGTAAGTTAAATAAAAGCTTGAAAAAAACAAAAGCTCGTGAATACTAAAACTTTGCTAATATAAAACTGTGAATAAATCAAACAACCTTACGACTTGGCACAGCCAAAATTTACCTTTTAATTTACACAGCATTTATTTATCTTTAACCTTTACACACATATCTTTTATCTTTACACATCATAAGTACACATTGTAGCGTTATACAACACAAATTTACCTTTTATTTTTGCCAACACTGTTACATTTGGTACATTAAATTACGTTTTAAAAAGTAGAAAATAAATTATACACTACTATTTAAATAACTATAAAGAAAAGCATGGGTCTCTTCCTAAATATTAGACACTACTATTTTAATTACTATAAAGAAAAGCGTAGGTCTCTTACTAAATATTAGTAAAGGTATCCAACAGATACTAAAGTGAAGGAGAAGGGGGACAACCACGGTGAACGAAACACCCTTGAAAAGACTCTGCATTTTTTCTGTACAATAATTATTTGGGGTTCAATGAACACCGATACAATTAGCGAAAAAGCTTAAAGAAAGCAAGAGCGACAGCTATAAATTATAGAGAAAGAGCTTAATATACAATTTTATATGTTAAGTATCATGTTTTTATGTGCTTGTTGAATTATAAATAAGCATGAACAATATACAGATACGTTGCAAACATCATAGGTACGGAAGTCAATTATGTAAAAGGTCTAGATCTCAAGTCAATTGGATTCTATTTGAACACAGTTTTTTTTTTACTTTCTCGTATATACGAAGTATAGAGAAAGTATTGTAATCGTGCACAAAAATAACAAGAAATTTTGACAGTTTTCACCGTTTTACTCCTCAGTCCTTCATCACACCCGGAGTATAGAGGACTTATTTTAATCAGGCAAAAATTATAAATACAAATATATAAACGTTTTGGCGTTTTATGCGTTATCGAGTCGTAAAATGTCTGTGTGTCTGTCTGTGTGTCTGTGTGTAAACACGATAACTTGAATACCGTTACAGCTAGGTTGATGACATTTCATATATAAGTATTTTATCAAAATCGTAGATCATGAGAAACTTTTGAGCGATTTCCGATAACAGGAAGTGGTACTTTTTCTACTTTGAATTTTTCAAAAGCCTATAAGTTGCGTACTATTTTAGATAGATGCATGAAATTTCACACGTAAGTAAACAATCTAATTTTCTACCTTCTGTCAAATTTTGAGTAATTTCCGTTTACCGGATGTACCAATTTACGCTATTTCTGATTTCTCAAAAAACTTTATAAAGTACTTTCATACACATTTTATTAGGCGTTCACTTGGTGTGGGACGGAGTGGTCTAGCAGTAGAGAGCTGGACTGCTAACCCGTTAGTATCGAGTTCGAATCAGAGTTCAAGTAAGTAGATCGTCCCAACTCTGATGGGCACCTAACTCCTGTTAGGGAAAGTAAAGGCGGATGGGCATAGTGCTGACCACACTATCTCTTCATATGCCGAGGTCACAGAAACAAGTGAACTCTACTTCACTTGCCCCATAGACCGTCAGGTTTGAAAGGGAAACTTTTCACTTGGTGTGCAATTCTTTTTTTTACGAGATTCTATTCTATTATAAAAAGTTTAAGTAATTAAAAATGGATAACAAATATTGTCTATGTCCTGAGTTGCCATCCCTTGTAATTTTATATTAGAATATTCGAGAAAGCTTAGGGGAGATCACTCCAGGTTTATTTACATTTATGCACGGTTTAAACGTTAACTATATTATATAATATCGTAGGTTTAAGTTCTACAAAAAATTCCAACAAATAGCTCATTTAAAAAAAATCATTCAGATATATACACGATAAAAATCTAAGCAACAGTTTTCAATTCGTTCACTAAGTCTATTTATATAACTTTCTGCGCACTGCGCAAAGCTGATCTTGCAATTGTTTATTAATAAACACTCGATTGGAATATCAGCAAGTCTTAAAATATTCCGAGAGTGACCTAAACTCTATAGTGAAGTTATAACAGTAAAGTAAAGCCCCCCCCCACCAGTGTTTCATCTAGACATTTTTTCTCCTGGGGGGGGGGGGGGGAGGGGGATTAAAATTTGGGGCTTGGGCTGACTAAAATTTCCGGGGGGGGGGGGGGCGGACACTGTCAAAATTTGGGGCTTGGGCTGACTAAAATTTCCGGGGGGGGGGGGGGGCGGACACTGTTAAATGTCTATATTTCTACATAAATTACATTTCGTACAAGGGGGGGGGGGGGAGATGCTTGGAAGAAACTCTGCCCCCCCCCCTTTTCAGACCTAAAGGTCCATAGTGCATATGAAGTCGAGTTTATGTTACTTGATCCCGACATATAAAAGGATGGTATGGTCAGCACTATGCCAAGCCACCTCTACTTTCCCCAACTTGAGTCAGGTACCCATCAGAGCTGGGTTGACTCAGGGACTTTGTACGGACTTGAGCTCTGGATCCGAACTCAAGACTTAGCAGTCGAACGCTCTACCATCAGCAAACAATAAATGAACTTTCGCGTCTATAACAAAAAGCATAATAATGGACTTTATCGAGTTGACGAGAATCCTTCCATCATTATTGTTGACATTGATAAAAATAATTTTTTTTAGATTGTACAATAAAAGGCGACCGTAAAACAATAAAAAAAAATGAAAACTTAAACGTAAAATAATTAAGAAATTTAATATTTTTAGAATCAATATTATAGAAGTTGCACATCCAGAGAACTTGAAAATATATCTTTTGAGTTTAAGTCTTAAGACTACATTTCTTTATATTTTCATCAAGCCTAAGTTACTATACTAGATCTAGATCTAGATCTATAACTAACGTTTCACTTTTGTAAGACAAACATTGGCTCTTACATTTTGTCATTATTTATTTACCCGTTTAGACCTAACTTCCTCAGTTGTTTTGTTTACGAAAACGTTTACCTGTTGTCGTATGAAAACCCAGTTTTAATGAAAAAGCTCACATTGTCCAATGTTCTCTCATACAATCGAAGCAACAACTTTCTTTCATTAACAATTCTATTTCCTTTCAACACAGCTTGTCATCGCGAACATTGTGTATGCGCGGTGCGAAACGGTGCTCATTGGTAAAACCCTCGCTAGAATTATTAGCGCGTCTATTTTTAACAAATACAACAATTTTTGCACCATTTTGATTCTGAATAACTTTTAACACGCTGAGTGTATTGACAGGGATTGAAATGCGTCATTATATAAAGCCATTTTTTAAAATCCCCATACGACTTAAAGCTGTACCCCTCCTTATAGAAAGGCTATTTTTATCCCCAAGCTTATGTCGTTACCTGTCTTCACGTAAAAAATATTTTTTTTTCTCTCCCTGATAAACTATAATGGTCATAAAGTTAGCAAGATTGTCAACATATTTGTTACAAAATAAAATACATTTATGTCATCACATCCTCCTATTTGCTACAAAAGGTCCAAAATTGCATACTTGACCATGCATCATTGCATACTTGACATTGCATCGTTGCATACTTGACATTGCATCATTGCATAATTGACATTGCATCATTGCAAACTTGACATTGCATCATTGCATACTTGACATTGCATATTTGACATTGCATACTTGACATTAAAGTTGCCTTAGCTCTACCATTAAGGCGAATTAGGGCGCTATCCATGGTGATTAAGGGGGGGGGGGGGGGGGGTAGTGGGCGCAAAAATGTGTACTAGCCTATTTGAAAGTAAAAATTGTTTTTCTTGAATTATCACAACACCATATGTACAAATTTCAGACCGTGGTCAGAGATAAATGTTACGTAACAAAACATTCAATTAATAAAAAAACAAGAAACTCATTTAACTTACTATTTATTCACAAATTCATTACATAATCGCTAACATATTAGAAATAATCTATAATACAATGTACAGTAAATTATAATTTAAAAATTAAACTTGTCTTAAAAAACAAATTTTGAGGTATTAGTACATAGGCCTATAAAGATATTTTTTGTGCTACATCAATACAAATTATTGTTTTCTATTCAATCTATCCTATCAATTTCTATGGCTGTGTGGGTAATATTAAGTGAACGGGAATTTTTTTTTTCGTATTTTGACATTTAATAATGATTCGAATATAACTATACAACTAACTACAGTTAGACAGACGTGGCAATGGCTGTTTTACTTTCAATTCTAATCTAGGGGAAAGCACCTGTGCTAGAGGCAGATTGCCTCCCACACACAACAGCTATATACCAGTTATACGAGGGGAGAGAATCCGTGAATACGTCGACTGTCCACCCATTATTATACATGTTGGATTGACAACTAGTATTCAAGTAAACACTGTTCTATACATTTGAAAAAATGACATTAAATTTACAAGGCTATATCAAAATATTGCTGACTACTTAAAAATTGCACATATATATATACAAAAAGCGCGGCTAGAAATATGACATAATACGTATAAATCTGTGTAGTTAAAATGTATAAGAATATATATATATATATATATATATATATATATATATATATATATATATATATATATATATATATATATATATATATATATATATATATAATGAGTATATGAGTCTTGCTTAGTCTAGCTCTTTCACACATACTAGCTCAGCATAATTAACTTACTCAGATGGACATTTATAATTAGACTTAATGAACACACATTGACGTAATCAAAAATTAATTAATTATAGGTACTCTCCTGCCTCGTCAAAAACAAGACGTGACACTCCTAACACTTCAATTGAACGATAACAATAACTAATCCAAACATGAGACTTGTCTTGAGCCTAACCGTAGCGCTGCCCCCCTCCCCACCAGTATTAAAAAAAATTACCTTCGTTATAGCGTTTATGAAAAATTCTAACTAATACTGAGGTGCCTGGATCGTGGCTAGACGATATCTGTCACTACAGTACCAGTTTGTCTTGTCAAATAAATAGCGATTACAAGCCTTAAATTCTTATGTTAATCTCTAACACTAACACAAGTACAATGTAAACCTCTTTTGGCACTGACTGGGAAAATCACTTTTATAAATAATGTAAATTTTATTAAATCTCAGTCTACACCAGTAATAATCTAGCCATTAATTAAAATATGATGGTATTGATTAAGATTTAAGATTAAAAATTTAGGAGTTTCAAATCATTAATATATTTTCTATTTATAGAATTTCTAATATTCTAGCCGTAAATTACTAAATTAAATTATCATTTAAGATAATCCAGCCATTGGTTAAGTTTTTCTTACTTTAAATCAAAATTTTATAATTAATTAACATTTTGAACCGTTTATTAGTTTAATAAAACATTAATTAAAGCATACAACCATTTAAAATGCTTTTTCCTAAAACTGAACTAGCAGGTGCACGAGTAAAATTATCTGGCTTGTTGTGACCCACCCCAGCATGGCTGTGACCCCCACCCCCAGGTTGTTTGAGGTTTGTGTCCCCTTCTTTGTGGTGTAGACCCTCCGATGATTGACCTTCTGCAGCGGCCGGAAGTCGTCCACAAGATGGTGGTGTTCGATGTCGTAGAGGTTCCGGAACATGTTTAACTGCAAGATTGACATATATTTAACGGCAAGATAGATACATTTTACTGGAAGATAGACATATTGTTCACTGGATGAATGACATATTTTTAACTGGACGATTGACATATTTTTAACTGGAAGATAGACATATTTTTAACTGGAAGATAGACATATTTTAACAGCAAGATAGACATATTTTTAACTGGAGGAATGACATATTTTTGACATATTTTTAACAGCAAGATTGACATATTTTTAACCGTGGATTGACATATTTTAAACTGGAAGATAGACATATTTTTAACCGTGGATTGACATATTTTTAACTGGAGCATTGACCTATTTTTAACGGCAAGATTGACAAATGTTAAGTGGAAGATAGAATATATTTTAACAAGATAGAAATATTTTAGCTGGAAGATTGACATATTTTTTAACTGCAGGAAAGGAATATTTTAACTGCGAGATTTAAATATTGTTAACTGCTAAATAGAAATATTTTAAATCTGTAAGACAGAAATATTTTCAAGAAATTTTCTCTATTTGCAAGATAAAAATATTTTTCAAATGCAAATATTGTCCTTCAAGTGTCGATCCAATCCCCAAACTCGTATCATAACCTTGACCTTCCCTATCCACCTACTGACCTGATTTTCTGAGATGGGAATAAACTCTGTGGCCACTGACCAGATGACCGACTCGTAACAAGGGGGCGTGGTTAGACTGCCGTCGTAACGGTAGTAGTCCAGTTTGTTTATGTCGGGGAGGATCTCAGACAAGGCGAAGGTCGGAATATGAGCCACCTGATCTGTTCAATTAAAAAAAAATAATGCAATGAATGGAGGACAGGTTTTTTTTTTAAAATTAAGAGAGAAATGAACTATCAAGCAAAAACTAATTTGGAATATTTGGTATGAGTTATCTATGCTTCTATTATTGTTGTGCTATTCGGAATAACCTAGACACAATGTGGTTTATGTTTACGCAGAGGCGTAGCCGAGGGGCGAACTTTCAACTGTGCGCCCCCCACCACCCCCACTTATATAAACTTATACACGTGCTTAATAAACTTCCTCATAACTGTTTGTATTTCGGCGTCACCCAACTGTAGCAGAAAACCGTTAAACCAGTCTTTAAAGCCTAGTAGCAGTCTAACTGTTCTTTCTACCTTTGTCTACCCCTTATTTGGCACCCCCTCTAGGTCGGCGCCCATGGCAATCGCTCCACCCGCCCTCTCCTAGCTACGCTGTTGGGTTTACGTTTGGCTAAGTAATGTTAGATTAAGGTTCAATGCGATAAAACTAGCTCGGCATGTTACCTGGTTCTGATTTAGTTATCATGTTTAGTTTTATATATATATATATATATATATATATATATATATATATATATATATATATATATATATATATATATATATATATATATATATATATATATATATATATATATATATGTATATATATATTAAAACAAACAACCTACTAATACAATATAAATTTACATTTTTTTGTTTTGAAAACCAATAATTTTTGGGTGTAATCTGCGTTATAGTTAATTAGCTAGTATTATAAATCTATTTCATTCTTAATTCTGTTGAGATTTTCAAAATAAAGTTTCACAAGTCACATGATTACCAGCATCAGCAATCTTGGAAAAATATTGTAAAAGATGTCTGTTCAACTTCTCGTTATCTTCTTCTACAACCTGGTTACGAAAAATAAAAAAGTCAGCGATTGAAGGTAAACTTTAAATGTTACGACAAAAATAAAATTCTCTTACACAAACACATGTAACCGTATCCATTTTTTTTCCATGTGTCGTAAAACTTGGTTAGCTTTGAACTAACCTATAATCGAGCAATTCTTACACCTAGTTGGCCAACCACCATTTTTAGATCTTTCATAAAAGAAAAGTGTTTGTGTGTGGGGGGGGGGGGAGGGAGGGGCTGGGGGTACCTTAAAGAAGAATCCAATTACAGCTAAACCTGATGGGTGGGATGCTGCATTTTCATAAGTGTTGGAACTGTTCTGGCGATGAACTATATGCATCTGAAATAGATCATGAGTCGTATATATATATATATGTATATATATATATATATATATATATATATATATATATATCTTGTTTTCGTTTTCTACTTTAGTGTATTTAAAACTGTATAAACAAATTATATTAGAAGCTAGCAACATCACAATGTACACAAAATGATCTAAAATGTCGACAGGGAGATGACGTGTATTACATGAGATTTGGCAAAAAAAAAATAAAAAACAGATTAAGCTATAACAAAAATTGCCTAGCGTCAAATTTCAAATGACAACTAATGCCAATGAAGAAATGACAACTAGAGCTGATACTGTGATATATTGATAGATGACACAAAATGCCATCTAAGATGTTACCACATTTCCTGAAGGCATGTAAACTATACGAGAATTAAAAATGGCAAATGTTAAAAGATAAATGACGTGTTTTTACTTTCTCGTATACACGAAGTATAGAGAAAGTATTGTAATCGTGAAAAAAAAATCGAGATTTTTACAAATCTCGACGTTTTACACCTCACTGATACGGAAAAACATAATTTTGCAATCTTGTCCGTATGTCTGTGTGTGTGTGTGTGTCTGTGTGTCTGTGTGTCCGTGTGTAAACACGATAACTTGAGTACCGTTACAGCTAGGCTGGTGTAATTTCATATATAAGTATTTTATCAAAATCGTAGATCCGTATCAACTTTTGAGCGAATTCCGATAACCGGAAGTGGTACTTTTTCTACTTTGAACACTTCATTTTGAGAATGAGAAGGAAAGAGAGAGAGAGTGAGATAGAGAGAGAGAGAGAGAGAGTGAGAGAGAGAGAAAGAGAGAGAGAGAGGGAGAGAGAGATAGATCCTAATACAAATTTCAAAATTTCACAAAGCTAAAAGAGAAGACGCCACCAAATGTCAATTTATAGAGAGAACCATAATGCCAGCAAATAAATGACAGTTTAAGTCGGCACTGAACGATCAAGGGCATAACCAATGACAGTAGCGAACTCTCAAACCTCCATGGGGAAAAAGTTGTCGTCGAGGCTATGTTCCGACCCCCTGGCGTCAACAGCACCCCAGTGAAAGTGGAACTGGTCAAGCTTGTATAACGTAGGCAGTCCGCCATCTTTGATGTATATCATTTGTCCTGTGTACTCTACTTCCACTGTTAAAAACAAGCACATACATTAACTCTATTAATTGGCAATCAAAGACACAAAAAAACAAGCAAAATAAACAAGCAATGCAAACATCAACAAAGAAACAACTCACTTCCCAACCTCACTTAAATTGTAATTTATATATATATATATATATATATATATATATATATATATATATATATATATATATATATATATATATATATATATATATATATATATAAAATCTAAATAAAACATCGTGCTGAGGATTCTAAAACATGAAGTTTAGTGAATAAAATACATTTGAAAAACAATACTCACGCCAAATTCATTAGGAGTTTTCTATTTCAAAGTATGTTAATTGTATTGAAAGAATATTTTATGCATTATTTCTTAAGTGGATGAATAGCAATACACACATTTGACCACCGCCTACCATCACAACTTAAAATTCAAATTCAGGATTTGGTGTAGAAAAAAAGTAAAAGAAAATTTCTATCAGGGTTTGGGACCCTCTTTTAAAATTTCCCGGGCCTCTAGGAATCAGTCATTCCACATAACAGATCTGTATGACCTACATCTACCATCGCAACTAACACTATAACCTTTATCTACTTTCACCGCTAGCAAACCTGTATGCCTACATCTACCATCACAACAAACACACCTGTATGACCTACATCTACCATCACAACAAACACACCTGTATGACCTACATCTACCATCACAACAAACACACCTGTATGACCTACATCTACCATCACAAAAAACACACCTGTATGACCTACATCTACCATCACAACAAACACACCTGTATGACCTACATCTACCATCACACCTGTATGACCTACATCTACCATCACAACAAACACACCTGTATGACCTACATATAGCATCGCAATAAACACACCTTTATGACCTACATCTACCATCACAACAAACACACCTGTATGACCTACATATAGCATCGCAATAAACACACCTGTATGACCTACATCTACCATCACAACAAACACACCTGTATGACCTACATCTACCATCACACCTGTATGACCTACATCTACCATCACAACAAACACACCTGTATGACCTACATATAGCATCGCAATAAACACACCTTTATGACCTACATCTACCATCACAACAAACACACCTGTATGACCTACATCTACCATCACACCTGTACGACCTACATCTACCATCACAACAAACAAACCTGTATGACCTACATCTACCATCACAACAAACACACCTGTATGACCTACATCTACCATCACAACAAACACACCTGTATGACCTACATCTACCATCACAACAAACACACCTGTATGACCTACATCTACCATCACAACAAACAAACATGTATGACCTACATCTACCATCACAACAAACACACCTGTATGACCTACATCTACAATCACAACAAACACACCTGTATGACCTACATCTACCATCACAACAAACACACCTGTATGACCTACATCTACCATCACACCTGTATGACCTACATATAGCATCACAACTAATACACCTGTATGACCTACATCTACCATCAAAATAACACACCTGTATGACCTACATCTACCATCACAACTAACACATTTTTATGACTTACATATACCATCACAACAAACACACCTGTATGACCTACATCTACCATTACAACAAATACACCTGTATGACCTACATCTACCATCACAACAAACACACCTGTATGACCTCCCTTGTTAACCAGCTCCATATGCACCCCATCCGCGATCTTATAATCCGACAGATCAAAACGAGGCAGCAGTGGGTCGTAGAGAACCTCCTCCGTCAGAATGTTGATGGGGGACTGTCTCACACCCCCACAATCGGGGTAATAGAAGCTCCAGTTCCCAGGGCCTGAGGGTGGGGGGGGGGGTGTAAAAGATAAAGTTTACAATGTTTAGTTGTCTTTGTTTGGTGAATTATAGTTTCACGAAAAAAAAATGTTTTTTTTAATGAGTACAATCTTCTTTCTTCTATGGTCTTAATTTTTAGTGTTGGGAGGGATCGAGCTTTTTTTGCCAGAGGGTTTGAACTCGAGACTTTTTTTTTCGAATTTATCAACCGTGAGCTTTTTGCCAACTCAACCACGCGTCCATCACAATTAAGGATACGTGTCAATTGGTTATGCGCCATTGAGGCCATTGACTCCGATTTCAGCCTGCTTTTCTTTCTGGATTTGCTTCCATAGCCTTTGTCCAACCAAGAACAAACTACAAAGCAGTAGTTGTTTGTTTTGGAGTTGTCTCTCCAATGAGTACAATGAATTCAGACATTTTTTTACTATTACCTAACCCTTACCGTCACAGCGTCGATTAAATTAAAAAAATTCATAAAAAAACGTTTTAATAACAAGCTTTTATGTAATAATGCACTAAAAAGGAGAAAATAAATTATAGACTACTATTTAAATGACTAAAAAGAAAAGCGTAGGTCACTTTAGTATCTATAGGATACCTTTACTAATATTTAGGAAGAGACCCAAACAGGTGTATTTAGCTATTATATTACGTGATGTTTTACCAGGAGATACAAGAAAACTACTCATAGACAAAAAGTCACAAAACATAGTAATGCTCACCCCCAGTGCTACTTTTGTCGTAGTTCCAGTCTGAAATAGATCACGTGATTTTAATTTACGACAAGCCAACAGTTTAGATTGGCTACATGTTTGCCAAGTTAAAGTAGAAAACTGCCACGCTTACATATTACTAATGACAGACAGACAGACAGAGAGACTGACACAGAGACTGACAGACAGACATAGAGTCAGACAGAGAGACAGACAGACAGAGAGACAGACAGACGAACAGACAGACAGACAGACGGACAGAGGATAGACAGACATACAGACAGACAGGCAGACAGACAGACAGACGGACGGACAGACGGACAGAAGGACAGAAGGACAGACGGACAGACGGACAGACGGACAGACGGACAGACGGACAGACGGACAGACAGACAGACAGACACAGACAAACACAGACAGACAGACAGACAGACAGACAGACAGACAGACAGACAGACAGACAGACAGACGGACGGACGGGGGGGGGACACACAGACAGACAGACAGACAGACACAGACAAACACAGACAGACAGACAGACGGACGGACGGACAGACAGACAGACAGACAGACAGACAGACAGACAGACAGACAGACAGACAGACAGACAGACAGACAGACAGACAGACAGACAGACAGACAGACAGACAGACAGACAGACAGACAGACAGACAGACAGACAGACAGACAGACAGACAGACAGACAGACAGACAGACAGACAGACAGACAGACAGACAGACAGACAGACAGACAGACAGACAGACAGACAGACAGACAGACAGACAGACAGACAGACAGACAGACAGACAGACAGACAGACAGACAGACAGACACAGACAAACACAGACAGACAGACAGACAGACGGACGGACGGACACACACACACACAGATGGACAGACAGACTGACACAACTTACTTCCAACACCAGTGCTGACCTCACCGATCTGGAGCACTAAAAGGGCGACAACCACAGTAAATATCACATCCATCAGAGAAGTCTGCATTTGTCTGTACAAGAAAAAGAATTAACCAACACTTTAAAAATTAGCGCAACGGTTGGCAAAATAAAATCGACAGCTGTTCAGTAATATGCTAGTTATTTTGTATTATATTGTTTAGTTGTTTACTTTTGCATATATTTTTTTTGTTAATATATGCTGTCTCGAATTTTTAAATGTACGTCTTTTTGCTTCTTCTATTTCAATTTAACGAGCTGACCCGCGACGTAGCACACGCTGCCATCTAGTTGTTTTATTTTCTGCTTATCAGCAATTCTTAATTTTTTTGTGAATTCAACAATATATACCCCCCCGCCCTCCCTCCCCCCCTTGTCCTGCATGGTCCCCATGAAGAGAATTATATATATAGATAGATTATATTGAGGGTGTATGTGTGTACACTCTGTACTTATTCACGTACAAAGACAGGACCCCAAAACATACTAAGTTAAATGATAAATCTGTATCCGGATGTATTCGAAGCTGTTTTATTTAAACTAGATTGGCTCATCTAAACCTGATCACCGCTACAAACGCAAACTTTCATCATGACTTTATTCCCTAACTGTATGGTAATCGTAGTTCTAAACGTCAAGCTAGGGGTGATCCAGGTAATACCAAATATCTACACGATTCTGCAAATTTCTTGCTTTTGTTTTAGAGATAGCCAACATTAATCGCGAATTCCATGTTTTTTCTTTATTTGCAAACATGTTAGAATTACAAATAAACCAGTGATTTAAATTAAAATACTGTTTTCTTAGTAGGTGGGAAGTAAAATGGAAGGGGGTGGGGTGGGGGGTTGACTATGATTCCAGTCAGTTCACGTTAGACGATTTTTTGTTGTTCCCCACCTGGTACCCTCCTGTCCAACATCGTCACAACATCACATATCATCATAATCTTATGTCACAACATCACATACCATCATAATCTTACGTCACTACATCACATACCATCATAATCTTACGTCACAACATCACATACCATCATAATCTTACGTCACAACATCACATATCATCATAATCTTATGTCACAACATCACATACCAACCATCATAATCTTACGTCACAACATCACATATCATCATAATCTTATGTCACAACATCACATACCAACCATCATAATCTTACGTCACAACATCACATATCATCATAATCTTATGTCACAACATCACATACCAACCATCATAATCTTACGTCACAACATCACATATCATCATAATCTTATGTCACAACATCACATACCAACCATCATAATCTTACGTCACAACATCACATATCATCATAATCTTATGTCACAACATCACATACCAACCATCATAATCTTACGTCACAACTTCACATATCATCATAATCTTATGTCACAACATCACATACCATCATAATCTTACGTCACAACTTCACATATCATCATAATCGTACGTCACAACATTACATTCCATCATAATCTTACGTCACAACATCACATACCATCATAATCTTACGTCACAACTTCACATATCATCATAATCTTATGTCACAACATCACATACAAACCATCATAATCTTACATCACAGCATCACATACCATCATAATCGTATGTCACAACATCACATACCATCAAAATCGTACGTCACAACATCAAATTCCATCATAATCTTACGTCACAACATCACATAGCATCATAATCTTACGTCACAACAACACATACCATCATAATCTTACGTCACTACATCACATACCATCATAATCTTACGTCACAACATCATATACCATCATAATCTTACGTCACAACATCACATATCATCATAATCTTATGTCACAACATCACATACCAACCATCATAATCTTACGTCACAGCATCACATACCATCATAATCTTATGTCACAACATCACATACCATCATACTATTAAGTCACAACAACACATACCATCATAATGTTGCGTCACAACATCACATAGCATCATAATCTTACGTCACAACAACACATACCATCATAATCTTACGTCACAACATCACATATCATCATAATCTTATGTCACAACATCACATACCAACCATCATAATCTTACGTCACAACATCACATATCATCATAATCTTATGTCACAACATCACATACCAACCATCATAATCTTACGTCACAACTTCACATATCATCATAATCTTATGTCACAACATCACATACCATCATAATCTTACGTCACAACTTCACATATCATCATAATCGTACGTCACAACATTACATTCCATCATAATCTTACGTCACAACATCACATACCATCATAATCTTACGTCACAACTTCACATATCATCATAATCTTATGTCACAACATCACATACAAACCATCATAATCTTACATCACAGCATCACATACCATCATAATCGTATGTCACAACATCACATACCATCAAAATCGTACGTCACAACATCACATTCCATCATAATCTTACGTCACAACATCACATAGCATCATAATCTTACGTCACAACAACACATACCATCATAATCTTACGTCACTACATCACATACCATCATAATCTTACGTCACAACATCATATACCATCATAATCTTACGTCACAACATCACATATCATCATAATCTTATGTCACAACATCACATACCAACCATCATAATCTTACGTCACAGCATCACATACCATCATAATCTTATGTCACAACATCACATACCATCATACTATTAAGTCACAACAACACATACCATCATAATGTTGCGTCACAACATCACATAGCATCATAATCTTACGTCACAACAACACATACCATCATAATCGTACGTCACTACATCACATTCCATCATAATCTTACGTCACAACATCACATAGCATCATAATCTTACGTCACAACAACACATACCATCATAATCTTACGTCACTACATCACATACCATCATAATCTTACGTCACAACATCATATACCATCATAGACAGAACTTCTTTCACGCATCTCTTCGAAGAACGTGTACTCACACAACATTCACTCAACAGGACATTCACACAACAGGACATTCACACAACAGGACACATCGTATTTCCTAAACCCCTCGCCCAACCCAACCTACCGTAACAGTGTTTCTTCGACACTTTTCGTTCAGGTGGGGGCAATTGAAATTTGGAGGGGGGGGGGAACTAAAATTTCCGGCTGGGGGTGCGGGTTGGACACTGGTCAATGTATATATTTGCTATATACATTCTATTTCGTTCGGAGGGGGGGGGGGGGGGTCGATAAACGTTTTTCGCCCCCCCCCCATCCACGAAGAGAAGTCTGGAAGAAACGGGTAACAAACATCACCAGCCCCAAGCCAGAACTTTATTGTGTGACGTAGTACCTTCTTACCATCGCAACCTGTGGGTTAGGGGAGAAGAGGAGGGGGGGGGGGGGGGAGGCGGATTGTTTACGAGCTCCGATTGATGATATTTTGTTGGCAATATCGTGCGGTCCTGGCCTGCACTAAATAAACCGGTTAGTTCTGGTTCCGCTTGCCCGTCCTGTATGTCTTTGACAGTGTCAATGTCAATGTCCGGAGCTTATAGACAGACAACGACGCACATCACTAATGCGGCAACCGTGTTATTTGTGTACCAACGTCCACAACAAGAGTGGGGAGATAATGTTTATTTGCCCTCTATAAATTAACTCTTGTAGTAATGAGAGATTTTTGTGTTACGCTAGGCTTATGCGTAGGACAAAAAAAAAATAGCAAGGGAAGACAACCTTTTATGTAAAATAAAAGTGTTGCGTTTCTTTTTTTTGTGAATGTGAAAAAATGGCTACGCATTAAGCCTGGCCATTTGGGGTTTGGTTATTGATTAGCATAAACTGCCACTAACAGTAGCGTAGCGAGGGGGGGGGGGGGGCGGGGGGGTTGGAAAAATAAATCGAAAGTTTGAGGGGGGGGGGGTGCAAATGGAAATCTTGAGGGGGGGGGGTGCAAATCGAAAGTTTGAGGGGGGGGGGGTGCAAATCGAAATCTTGAGGGGGGGGGGTGCAAATTGAAAAGTTTGTCCCCGGGCGCCGGAAAGGGTCGCTACGCCTCTGGCCACTAATTTCTGCTGTGAATTGGTTTGTGGTTACACCTTTGGGTTTAGTTTATGCGCGGTGCTGCAGTGCGCATGCGTACGACGGATGTTTCATTAGCAATTGATGAACTCTTTGTTGTCTAGCGCGTATGTTGTGTCGTCGGGTGCAGTAGCTGGGTGTGAGCAGTCTTCTGTGTCTGTTGGTGAGGTTATAGTGGCGGGTAAGTAGGTCACCAAACAGTTCGACCTGCACGAGCCATAGAACTGTTTATTGACCTACTTACCAGCACTATAGTGGTGGATTGGTGGTCCAGTGTGGTTTGGTGGATTGGTGGTCCTACGTGGGTTGGCGGATTGGTGGTCCTACGTGTGTTGGTGGATTGGTGGTCCTACGTGTGTTGGTGGATTGGTGGTCCTAGGTGTGTTGGTGGATTGGTGGTCCTGCGTATGTTGGTGGATTGGTGGTCCTACGTCGGTTGGTGGATTAGTGGTCCTACGTGGGTTGGTGGATTGGTGGTCCTAGGTGTGTTGGTGGATTGGTGGTCCTGCGTATGTTGGTGGATTGGTGGTCCTACGTCGGTTGGTGGATTGGTGGTCCTACGTGTGTTGGTGGATTGGTGGTCCTACGTGGGTTGGTGGATTGGTGGTCCTACGTGGGTTGGTGGATTGGTGGTCCTACGTGTGTTGGTGGATTGGTGGATTGGTGGTCCTACGTGGGTTGGTGGATTGATGGTCCTACGTGGGTTGGTGGATTGGTGGATTGTGGTCCTACGTGGGTTGGTGGATTAGTGGATTGGTGGTCCTGCGTGGGTTAGTGGATTGGTGGTCCTACGTGGGTTGGTGGATTGGTGGTCCTGCGTGGGTTGGTGGATTGGTGGATTGGTGGTCCTACGTGTGTTGGTGGATTGGTGGATTGGTGGTCCTGCGTGGGTTGGTGGATTGGTGGTCCTACGTGGGTTGGTGGATTGGTGGTCCTGCGTGGGTTGG